GATTCTGGAGGAGGCCCATAGCTCGCGGTATTCTATTCATCCAGGAGCCGCGAAGTTGTATCAGGATCTGAGACAGCATTACTGGTGGCGGAGAATGAAGAAAGATATTGTGGGATTTGTAGCTTGGTGTCTCAATTGTCAGCAGGTGAAATATGAGCATCAGAGACTGGGTGGCTTGCTTCAGAGGATGGATATTCCAGAGTGGAAGTGGGAGCGGATCACTATGGATTTTGTAGTTGGACTCCCTCGTACTTTGAAGAAGTTCGATGCTATTTGGGTAATTGTGGATAGGCTGACCAAGTCCGCGCACTTCATTCCTATTTGTACTACTTATTCTTCAGAGCGGTTGGCAGAGATATACATTCGGGAGATTGTTCGGTTGCATGGTGTCCCAGTTTCCATCATTTCGGATCGGGGCACTTAGTTTACTTCCCAGTTCTAGAAGTCGGTTCAGTGAGAGTTGGGTACTCAGGTACAGTTGAGCACAGCTTTTCACCCTCAGACGGACGGGCAGTCCGAGCGCACTATTCAGATATTGGAGGATATGTTACGCGCTTGTGTTATTGATTTCGGAGGGTGATGGGATCAGTTTCTACCGCTTGCAGAGTTTGCTTACAACAACAGCTACCAGTCGAGTATCCAGATGGCTCCATATGAGGCTTTGTACGGGAGGCGGTGTAGATCTCTGGTTGGTTGGTTTGAGCCCGGTGAGGCTAGGTTATTGGGGACCGAGTTGGTTCAGGATGCTTTAGATAAAGTGAAGGTAATTCAGGAGAGATTTTGTACGGCGCAGTCGAGGCAAAAGAGTTATGCTGACAGGAAGGTTCGAGATGTGTCCTACATGGTTGGTGAGAAGGTCTTGTTGAAGGTTTCGCCCACGAAGGGTGTTATGAGATTCGGAAAGAAAGGGAAGTTGAGTCCGCGGTTCATTAGGCCTTTTGAGGTACTTCGGAGGATCGGGGAGGTGGCTTATGAGCTTGCCTTGCCACCCAGCTTGTCGAGTGTGCATCTGGTTTTCCATGTTTCTATGCTACGTAAGTATATTGGGGATCCGTCTCATGTTCTGGACTTCAGCACGGTTCAGTTGGAGGGTGATTTGACTTATGATGTGGAGCCAGCAGCTATTTTGGAGCGTCAGGTTCGAAAGTTGAGATCAAAAGATATAGCTTCGATGAAGGTGCAGTGGAGAGGTCGGCCCGTGGAGGAGGCTACCTGGGAGACCGAGCGAGCGATGCGGAGCAGATATCCTCACCTATTTGAGGCTTCAGGTATGTTTCTTGACTCGTTCGAGGACGAACGTTTATTTAAGTTGGGGAGGATGTGACGACCCGGCCGGTCGTCTCATGAGTTACCGCTCCGTTTTCCCCATTTCTGCTTCTTTATGTATTGTTTATCCGTGTTTCGAGGTATCGGGTTGGTTGGATTGAATCCGGAATGGTTTTGGTGAAGTTTGAGACACTTAGTCTCTTTTAAGGAAGTTAATTTGCAAAAAGTCAACCGGATGTTGACTTATGTGTTAGAGGGCTCGGAGGTGAGTTCCGATGGTTCGGTTAGCTTCGGGAGGTGATTTATGACTTAGGAGTGTGATCGGAATGGGTTTTAGAGGCTTGGAGTAGATTTAGGCTTGAATTGGCAAAGTTGATATTTTGGCGACTTCCAGTTGGTAGGCGAGATTTTGATCCAGGTGTCGGAATGGAATCCCGAGAGTTGCAGTAGCTTCATTGTGTCATTTGGGATGTGTGTGCAAAATTTCAGGTCATTCGGACGTGGTTTGGTTGGGTTTTTGATCGAAAGCGTATTTCGGAAGATTTCTAGAAACTTAGGCTTGAATTCGATGTGTTTTGGATAAATTGATGTTGTTTGAGGTGTTTTGATGATTGGAGCAAGTTTGAATAAGGTTTTAAGATGTGTTGGTGCCTTTGGTTGAGGTCCCGGGGGCCTCAGGTGAGTTTCGGATGGTCATTCGGAGCATTTTAGGAGTTTGAAAGTTGCAGAAATTTAAGGTTCAGTGTTGCAGAGATTTATCTATTCGCGTTCGCGAGAGGAGACTCGTGTTCGCGAAGAAGGAATTGAGGAAGGCCAGGATTTAGCCTTCGCGTTCGCGAGATGGGCTTCGCGTTCGCAGAAGGCTGGGATGCAGTGCATCGCGTTCGCGAGAGGGAACTCGCGATCGCGTAGAGTAATTTGGGGTCTGAGGGGCCCAAGGTCTTTTGTTCTACGCGTTCGCGTAAGGGGTGTCGCATTCGTGAAGGTGTAGGAGGAGAAAGCATCGCGTTCGCGATGGGTGTACTGCGTTTGCGAAGATCAAAATGTGGTCAACGTAAGTTTGTACTACGCAAACGCGAGGGTTTGACCGCGTTCGCGAAGAAGGAAAGTCAGGCCTGGGCAGAATGTTTTTAAGTCGTCTTGTCCGCGATTTTGGGTCTATTTTCACCCGTTGTTGATCATTTTGAGAGCTTTTTGAAGGAGATTAAAGAGTGATTCAAGGGGGAACGACTTGAGGTAAGATTTTTGGACTTAAAACTCGATTCTATTGTGAAATCTACCTAGAAAATCATGGAAACTTAAGCTAAAAATGGAAGAACTAGGGCTTGAAATTTTGGACCTTTAATTTGGGATTTGAAGGGTCATTTGTGGACGGATTTTGATGTTTTTGGTATGTATGAACTCGTGGGGAGATAAGGAACCTATTGGTGTAAAAAATTTCTGAGTTTCGAGAAGTGGGCCCGGGGCTCGGGTTTTCTGATTTCGGGATTTTTGGTATTTTTTGATTGTTTTCGCTTGGGCTTTGTTCCCTTAGCATATTGTGACGTATTCGTTCTGATTTTGGATAGATTCGACGTGCGTGGAGGCCAATTCGAAGGTCAAAGGCGTCGTGAGCTAGGGATTTAGCCGGTTCGAGGTGAGTAATGCTTGTAAATGATGTTCTGAGGGTTTGAAACCCCGGATTGCACATCGTAGTGCTATGTTGAGGTGAGACACACGCTTGTTGACGAGCGTGGGGTCGTACACTATTGGGCATTGTGACTTGGTCCGTCCCGGTTGATGATTTTACCGCGTATTTGACTGAAACTTATTTGTTATCACTATGATTTGGGCTGAATGCCATATTTGGGCTTCGTGCCAATTATTTGAACCCTTCGGGGCTTTTTCTTGATATTTCCTCACTGCTTTGAATTACTACTTGAACTCAGTCATGTATTTTCCACTGTTTTACTACTCAGTCGGTTTTTACTCAGTTTTTGAGACTTAAATGATCTTTGAAATGATGTTTTGGGCTGAGACACACTGTTTTACTATTGCTCGAGGGGCTTGTGAGTATTTTTGACTGAGTAAGGCCGAGGGCCTGTGTTGTGATGAGACACTGATACTGATTTGAGGCCGAGGGCCTGAGATATGTACGCCACGAGGTGGCTTGCTTGATATGAGGCCGAGGACCTAGTTGTGATGCCACGAGATGGCTTGTTATTGCGCTTGGGCCCTAAGGGGCCCCTCCAGGAGTCTGCACACCCCCAGTGAGCACGGGTACCAAGTGTGATGTGAGATTGAGCCCGAGGGGCTGTTACTGTTGTGAGATGTTGCCCGAGGGGCGGTTGTGGTGTTATTTTGCCCGAGGGGCGAACTTTTATTTATTTACTTTATCCTGATTATCTGTCAATTACCTGTTTACTGGTTTAAAGAGCATTTTTCATGATTCTTACTGGTTTTCCTAATTATAAATGATTTTACTACTTCATTATGGACTGCCATATGCTTTACATGTTTTCTTGCTTTCGGTCATTATTTATATTCATTACTCACTGAGTTGGAGTACTCACTTTACTCCCTACACCCTGTGTGCAGATTAGGGCGTAGCTGGTTCCCCTCCGGAGTGTTGATTTTCCTCCAGTTCCAAGCGGGCTTTTTCGGAGATTACGAGGTAGATGTTGGCGTCCGCATCCCCGTGTCTCTACTCTTCTATCATCTCTGTTTCCTACAAACACTTGTAGTAGTTTATGACTTTAGTAGGTTGTACTGTGATTCGTAGATGCTCTTGACTTGTGAGACCCCGGTTAGGGCTGTGTTGGGTTGGATTTCCGCATTATTCTTGATATTTCCGCTACTTAGAATTATTAAATCATGTTTAGACTATTTTGTGTTGTTTAACTGCTTTAAAAGAGGAAATTGGATTAAACTGGCTGGCCTTGTCTTCACGAGAGACGCCATCACGACCGGGTTTGGGGTTAGGGTCGTGACAAGTTCTGTAATACAGAAGACCAAATTGCAGATATCTTCACCAAAACATTGAGCAGAGAACATTTTGAGACAAATAGGCTGGAGCTGGGGCTAATAAAGCCAAATTGAGAACCTTGTTCCTATCAGTTGGCTATGAAAGTCACTTTCAGGTAACATTAGCTAGAGTGTTTTCCGGCCAAGTTTAACTCACTTCAATACTATTGCAGGTAGACACGCATGGTGATTATAGAAGCTGTAGATGCACTGCATGGATAGTAAAAGAGGATTGAAAATTTTCAAAGATAGGTCAAGAACCTGGTTCTTGTACCATAGGTTTGCAGTCTTGTGCATTCTCATACATATCTTAAAAAGATGCAAAAAATGATTGCCATGTCACCTACCTTTTCAGACCCTGTATGTCACGTCTTTTCATTTCAAATCCTTTCATCTCCCTCTGAAACGTTGCAACTCCCCACATATTTTCCGCCATTTCTGAACCAGTTCCTTTCTCTCTCCCTCATAATTGTCTCTTCTCCCATTAAAACCCTCTCTTCTTTTTGAACGACCACATCTCTCTTTTCAGTCCTTCTCCAAAATTCCCTACTTCATCATTGCCATGGCTGAAAATCAATCAATGATTCCCTCCTTAGTTGAGAAAACTCCAGAGAAAACCCTTGATTCATTCGTATCTGAAAAGCCGTCTCTCATCATCCATGTCTCAACCACCATTGGTGAAGACACTTCCAACCCCGATTCTTAGAATCCCTCTAGTTCGACTCTTTCAGACCTCTCTCCCCTTCAAAAAGTTGAGAACTCAGAAACCCCAACCTTCGATAATCCTTCGTTCCTATCGTCTAAGATTCTCACCGACCAAAGCAAGGGTGGAGAACAGGATAAGATTCCGCAGTCAGTTGAAGTCTCAGAGGTGAGTATTGATCAATCTACAGTTGTTCCTACTTTTAAGTTTGTGGTAACCATGGAGTCTCTAGAGAAAGAGGCCGTCAAAAATGTACTGGTCATATCTGCTGATGGAATAGTGTATGAGGTGATCTCTAGTGTGCCTGAGTCTCAGAAGAATGAGACACAAGGGTTAATGGAAGAAGGAGCTCTGGTGCTTTTTGAAAACTCAGCACCGGCAGGAACTACTGGGATTGTTTGTGAAGGACTTGATCCCTCTCCAGAGGAAAAAGATCAAGGATCCTCTTCCCAGGTCAGGTTCGCCCCTGCTCCCTCTCCACACTTTGCTGTTGAGCCCTTGGAATCTTGTTGCCTGAGATGAGGTCTAGTGATGAAGATGATCAAGATAATGTTCCTCTAGATTCTTTTATTGTCAGAAGAAGGGCAGTAGCCACTCTTGAGTCATCTGCTAAGCGACCTACCACTAGGTTGCAAGCAAAAGAGGCTTATGAGTCTGCACTACAAAAAGGCAAAAGGAGCAGTAAAAAGAAAAAGAAGAGGTTGGTGAAAAATGTAGTAGTATGTGACAAGGACATTCCTGTGGTAGAAGTTGATGAGGAAGCAACAGAGGAACCCAATTCCTTGGTTAAAAGGTCCCAGAAGAAGAAGCAATCTACTTCAGAGGAATGTGTTACTACGCCTAGTTCAAGATCAGCAAAAAGTGATGGAAAGTTGAAAGATGTTGTGAGTGAACAATCATTTTCTGATGAGAATGTGTTGGACAAGTCTAGCGGAAAAGGAAAATCGAGTGTGAAGTCTGGTAAGAGAAAGTTGGAAACTGTGAGGCAACCTGATTCTTCCAAGAGAGTGAAGGGTGAAAGTATGTCTGCTACAGAATGATTGAGGCACCAAAAGGTCTTGTGGGGTCGCACTTTTGACCCAGCAATTTTTGAAATGGCTGGCATGAGACAAATAATTGAGATGGTTGAGTTTCAACGGTGGGGGCATCTGTTCCAAGTGGATGTGCCCAAGGTCTATGAGAATGAGGTCCAAAGCTTCTATGCCGACCTTTTTCCTGTTAATACTGACCATATTTGTGCCTTGGTTAATGGAGTGGATATTGTGCTGGATGCTTCCTTGCTTGGGGACATTCTTAAGGTCCCTGCCGCTGGTAAATCTTCTGTGAAAAACGTCTGCGTGTCAAATTTCAGGAATGCTATTGTGAAGGAAGGTGTAGCCCAGCAGGGGGAACGGGTTCACAAGAAAGCCTTGCTTCCCGTTTATCAGTTATTGTTCGAGCTGGTGAACAATGTTCTTCTACCCCGTGCTGAGAGAAGGTCCATTACTTCTAAATCTGACCTATATCTGATGGAAGCACTGGATGAATTTAAAGCTGTAAACTTGCCTGGCATCATGATTGAGCATATGCAGAAGGTGGCGACCTTCAAGGATGGCAACCATGGTCTTCCATATGGGTTTCTTCTTACGCCCGTCTTTAAGTTCTTCAAAGTGCCATTGGGAAAGTTCAAAGTAGGGACCAAGAAGCAGACCTTCTCTCAAACAACTTTGGAGGAATGTGAGTGTATCGAAAAGAATGGAGGAATTGGCAGCACTTCGATAACCTGTCAGCTCATCAATGCTCAAAATAGTGCAACTAAGGAGATTCGAAGGCTGAAGGCAAGGAATGCTATACTGGAAGGTCAGCAGGCCCAAGGGGGTCCAGGGTCAAATGAGTAGATAGCTCGTCTAACCAAGGAAAATGCTGATCTCAGGGCACAGGTGGAGAACCTGAAGGATAAACTGCTCACCGAGCAAACGTCGGCAAATGCCCGAATAGATCTGGTTCTCAACACCCTTGTGCAGCCTCCAAGCCCTCTCCTCCTAGTGTCCCTTAGGCAACCCTTCAGTGACCAGTTTCTGGATTAATTCTGTTCTTGTTTTGTTGACATTGGCAGTTTGTTTTTGTTTTTTTTTTTGGTATGGATGGGAAGTACCTGTACTGCTCCCGCTGAAATCAGTCCAATTTTTGCCTTTGCTATATAGCAAAGGCATATGTTTTATCAAAAACTATCCTCTTTTTTTGTTGTTTAATGCTTTTATGTCTCTGCTTCTCTTTTCTATCATATTATGTGCACATATGTGGCATTAGTTAGCTAGGCTAGACTTCTTTATGTTGATTGCCTGTTTATATATTTTTAATGATGCCAAAAGGGGGAAGTATAACGTCAGGGGGAACTAGTTCCTGTTACTTCATGTGTATAATTTAGAAAACAGGGATCTGTTTAGGGGGGAAGTATAAAGTCAGGGGGAACTTGTGAACTGTTACTTTATCTGGTTAATTTTGCTCTAAACATGCGTTATCAATTTCTATGTTTGCCATCATCAAAAAGGAGGAAATTGATGGTTTGCCTTAGCTTTGTGTTTTGATGATCTAACAAACTTACTGTCAAAGAACCAGATAAGGACCCTGACTCATTTGGTACACAACTCAAATCAACGGATTCCAGCTAATGAGAACTGCTAAGACTTCAGAAGATAGAGAATCAACACAGGGACCTGATACCCTTGTGTTTCCCTGACAACAGTAAGAAGTCAACTATCTATAGTTGGAAAGTGACCGCCTGCACTGTACACAGAAATAATGCAGCACAGGTTCTGCAGTCACTTCTCATTTGACCTACCAAGTGATTACATCACTCAAGTGATGTCATCCATGTTGTATTAACAAAGAGTATTACAACAAAATATTACTTGAACACTTGAGAATCAACTTGAGCATTCAAGCACTCCAACCGTTCACAGATCAAGCATTCAATTCTCAAGTGCATCAAGAACAAAGTTTAACACTACTACGGACCAGTTCCTAAATCTAATATCTTGTTGTCCTTAGTTGAGTTGTAACTTTGTAATTGTTCTTCATTGTAATTCCTAATTTGCTTATCTAGAAGCGCTGCTCAGGAACCCCCTTGTAAAATCATAAACCCCTAGTGTTTGTGTCTTGACTAGAGTTAGTCATGAGTTGAAGTCTTTGTAATAGGTGTATTACAAAGTGGCTTTTAATAGGTGCATTACAAGTTAGTGAGGGATTNGTTTAATTCCTAGATTGCATAGGTTGTAATCTAAAAGTTGCTTATAGTGAAGTTGAAATCCTACCAGTATAGGTCGTGGTTTTTTTATCCCCTTGAGCAGGAATTTTTCCACGTAAAAACTCCCTGTCTTATTTACTTACTGTTCTATTAGCTTCTCAGTAGAAACTCATAGAGGACCTGGTCTCTATATAGTTTGATGGACTCATATATTCTAATCACTGGTATATGTAAATTTTGATATAAGACCCATCTCTTCTTAGGGCTTGAGCTAAAGATATATGTAGATTTTGATATATGGCTCATCTTTTCTTTGAACTCACGTCTATGCATGACTATTGCAGGACAAGAATTCTTTTGCTTTCATGTGAAGTTACTTGCTATTACTATTGGTATATAAGTGCTTTATAGTAACAGAAGACCAGTTAAGAGAAACAATTTAATATTTTCTTTTGAAACAGTTCATATGTTATGGACATTCACGCACTTGAAGAAACTGCTTCTATCTTTTGAGATTCTATTAAAGGCTTGGATTTTTTTATTTTCCTTTTTGTTCTGCAATTGGATGTAAACGCATTTGTCTATGGTAATTATCTTCTCGGTGTTGATTTTTTTAATGTCATCTTGTAGCTATACGAATGAGAGAAATAACTGTTTCGGGCAAAAAAGCCCGTGCGAAGAGCGGGTATCGACCATCTAGTAGATATAGAAAGGATGATAAATAAGTAAACATTGAATGGAGTTTATAAATTTATAGATGTACAACGAATTAATTCTTTAGCAGTTCAATTAGATATTTTTAAATATAAATTAATCAACAAACAACTTTCCATATTTATCTATTTCTTATATCTATCTATAACTATACTATTTTAAAAACACAAAATTCCTACACTTAAAAATTCGATTACTACATTTTTCCTTATTTGAATTACGTAGAAACTAGGAAGCCCTAATAACATTTAAGACTTCATAATTGGTTAAGATTTTTATCTCATAAAATTATTTTCTTAATTGAATTAAGTAACAATCACTAACTTTAGAAGTATAAATTAATCTATATAAGTTTTCTAACATTAAAATTAAGCAAATAAAATATGATTAATTGGAATCCGGTTGTAACAGAAGTCTATGGAACCGTTTATGACTATAGAACTTCAAGAGTATTTTCATTTAACAACATAATGAATTGGAACTGAATTAAACTACACACAAATTAATTAACTCAAACTTTAGTTAATTGAAAAAATAATAATTAGTTGTTCTAAAAATTAAATTAAATAATTTATTTTTTGTTAATTTAAACTCTTAATATTAGGTACTCCAAATTCTAAATAATTAAATGTAGTTATAGTTTTAACCAACAAAAATTTATTTTCAGAGGGTAAAAAAATTGGTTTCACATTAGACATAATTTATATTTTAATTATTTCCCTAATGTTTTAAATTTTAAAATTAACTAAAGTTTGGGTTATTAAATATTTGTTCATTTAAACTATGTAAGAATTCATCATATGGGGGGAGTATTAACTATTAAGAGTTAAAAATATAAATATGCAATGCTTATAGCAATAAGAATGAATTAATAGAAGACAAATGTATTCTATATGCAAATTTGTAGCAACAAGGATGCAAATTTATAGCAATAAAGATAAATTAGTAGAAGATGATGTATCCTAAATGAGTTGTCACAATTATTATTATTATTATTATTATTATTATTATTATTATTATTATTATTATTATTATTGTTGTTGTTGTTGTTGTTGTTGTTGTTTTTCCATTCATTCCAATAAATGAAAGCTCCCGATATTTTTTATTTTTTTTGGTAATTAAGAAACTTTTTATTACTACTTGCAATATTTATATGTATAATCAGAAGCAAAACTCTAAGTTTGGACATATGGCCCCAAACTTAGTACATCATTTCTAAACATCTATCTATCTCATCAACTAAGCTATGGATAAAAATTTCTATGCTATAGCGCTTTCTTCAATCTGCTATGTATACTTCCTCGACAATGGACTTCACGTATAATCTGCCTTGTGATATCCCCACCGCCTCTCTTTACTTATTGAAAAATTTTGCAGTTTCTTTCAATCCATACATGATATATTGCACCAGCCACGCTTAACCTGTATAGTTCTGTTTTAGCTCCCTTCCCAGTTATATTTCTTGTAGCCCATTCAACTTCATCTTTCCAGCTATACACTTGTCTTGTTATTCCCAGCCATGTCAGTATCTTACTCCATATCTCTGTCGAGTACTTGCAGGAGAAGAAGAGATGTTGATGACTCTCCATCTCTTGCTCACACAATGGACAGGTTTGCTCCACTTGTATCCCCCATTTGCTCATTCTGTCTTTGGTAGATAGTCTCTCCTGTAGTGCTAGATACATAATGAAGATCCACTTTGGGCACCCTTTACTGTTACAAATCAATCTTTTCCAGCTTTTATTTGTAAAGTCTCCTCGTAATTGATTATACATGCTGCTAATAGAATATGTTTCAACCATCAGAATCTTTTCTATCTCTAATCCTGCTTCAGTTATACACTTTGCTGCATGTAAAATCTTCTTCATTATCCACGATGCTTGATTTGCTTCCACTGTCCAATGCTCTCTCCCTTTGGTATAGTACACATGAACCCATTGACCCACAAATTATCATTCTTCTTACATATATTCCATAAATGCTTCAGCAAAGCAGCCTTGTTCCATGTAGTCATGTCAATGATATTTAGGCCCCCTTTTGATTTTGGTTTGCATAGCTTGTCCCATGCCACCAAACCTTTTTTACTTGCATTTGCATCGCCTGTCCACAAAAACTTTCTGCATATAGTCTCCACTGCTCGAATGATCTTCTTTGGCAGAGGGAAGATCTGAGACCAAAAGGATTGTATGGCAATCAACACACTTCTAACCAACTGCAATCTTCCTGCATAGGTTAGGAATTTCACATTCCATTGCTTTATTCTTCCTAACATTTTATCCAAAAGATGCTGACACTGGTTTATTGATAGTCTCTTGGAGCTCAATGGCACTCCCAGATATCTAAACGGGAGTTCTCCTGCTGTGAATCCAATATCTCCCGTTTTCCAACTTCTGTTACTCCCCCAAAGTATACACAACTTTTACTTTGGTTTGCAAGTAAACCTGATGCTTTTGAGAAGCTTTGAAAGCATTCATATAGCATCTGCACAGAAACCACATCTCCTCTACAAAACAAAAGCAAATCATCTGCAAAACTGAGTTGGATAATCTGTAACTTTTCACACCTGGGATGAAAATTAAAATTTGGCTGCTCCCTCAAGTTTTTCAGTATCCTTGTTAGATATTCCATTGCTAACACAAAGAGTAGTGGAGACATTGGATCTCCTTGTCTCACTCCTCTCTTAGCTGCAAATGGAGCAGTGGGACTCCCATTGATAGTTATTGAATAAGATACTGTCTTTACGCACTCCATGATCCACTCCACAAATTGCTTGGGAAAGCATAGTCCTGTGAGTACTTGTTCCAAAAAGCTCCACTCAAGAGAATCATATGCTTTTTGTATATCTATCTTTAGCATATATATTGGAGAAGTACCTTTCCTACCATATCCTTTTACTATCTCATGGCTAGGTAAAATGTTGTCTGTTAGCACTCTTCCAGGTATAAAAGCTGCTTGGCTCTCATCCACCAAGGTGTTCATCACTTGTGTCAGCCTACATGTTAACATCTTGGATATAATCTTGTATAAAGTGGTGCAGCATGAGATTGGCCTGTATTCTCTTATAGAAGCAGGATTCTTAACCTTGGGAATTAGAGTGATTGCTGTAGTATTAATTGCCTTATGCATCTTCCCTGTGCTAAAGAAATCCAGAACAACTTCAGTTATTTCATCACCAGTAATATGCCATATTTTTTTGAAAAAGTATGAATTGAAACCATCTCCTCCTGGTGCTTTCATATCATCAATCCCCTTTAATGCTTGTAAGACCTCCTCTTTAGTAAAAGGTCTTACAAGCTACAACTGTTGCTCCCTTGAAAGCACTGGTCCATTCTTTATCCACCCAGAGTGAATTGCAGGAATACTCTGAGCAGCAGTCCCTAGAAGCTGTTTATAGAAACCAGTTATTTCCTCTTCAATACTTTTAGGCTTTGTCAATACACATCCTTTGCTATCCACTAGCTTTGTTATCTGATTCTGCATTTTCCTTCCCTTCATAGTAGAAAAGAAATATGCATTATTAGTATCCCCCTCTTTTAGCCATTGCACTCGAGATTTCTGTTTGTATATTGATTCTTTTATCATACTCCATTTTTTCAGTTGCACTAGCAGTTTTTTCTCTTCTTCAAATAGACTACTTGATCTGTCTGCATGGTTCATTTTCTTTTGTATGTCTTTCAGTTGTCCTCAGCTAGTTTTTATCTTCCCTGTTACATTCATGTACTCAGTTCTATTCAGCCTCTTCAAAGCTGCTTTAACATTCTTCAAACTCTGCCATACAGCTGTCATTTTCCCTTCATGCAAGTACCAATTTTCCTTTATTAGCTTTTCAAACTCAGGATGATCCACCATGCAATTATAAAACTTGAAAGGCCTCTTTTTACTATCACAGTAATCTTCAACTTCTATGCTTATTGGAGAGTGATCAGAGAAAAGAGACTCCATTACATGTGCTTGTAAAGGAGGTATACTAGTTATCCATTGATCATTCACGATTGCCCTATCTATTCTGATGAAGACATGGCTATTTGTCCATGTAAATGACTTCCCAACAGTTGGTAATTCTGTTAGGCCGCAATCTTCCAATAACTCTCTAAAATCTTTTGTTTCATGATCTTGCACTTCTCTGCCATTCATTCTATCATCCACCCCTAGAACTGTATTGAAATCCCCCATCATCAACCAGGCTCCTCTGATTTGTTTCTCTATGTTCCTGAGTGAACTCCACATATCTTTCTTGTCTTGCACTGTATGCAAACCATACACTGCAGTGAATTGGAATTCTTTATTACTATGCACCATTTGGACTTGTCCATGAATAATTTGACCAGAACTCTCTATGACTGTGAAGCTAATAAACTTTGGATTCCATACTACCCATAGCTGCCTTTACAGGAATTTGTGACATTGTGACACCAACTCCAACCCGACATTATTTTATTTATGATTTGGTCAGCTTTTGCTTCATGAACTTTCTGTTCACTTATTGCTATCATCTTCATCTTATTTTCCTTCAAGAACTCCTTTAGCTCCTTGTGCTTAAACATCTTCTTTAGTCCCCTCACATTCCATGCTACTATCATATTTGTTGTTTGGAAGGATTTTGTGATATCATCTCTGCTTTCCCTCCTCCACTTGAACTACATTCTGCCTCCTTAGTTCTTTGTTCTTGCCTTCCATCCATTAAGGTATTGAAATAGTTCAGCACAGTGATATGCTACCCAGGATTTACCACTTTCTGCCCTTTTGCAGCTGATTTATTCTTGAATTGATGCCATGTCGCTCCTGCTTCCATCATTGAATTCTCTGTATTCTGTTGTTCTATGTTCTTCTCTGGAATTTCCTTTTGATTTCCACTCTGCACATTGTTAGCTCCATTTACCGGTTTCCATTCTATTTTTTGTCTTTTGCCTGTGGGCTGTTGCTGCTATCCTATCTTCTTCTCCACCATTCCTGCTTGAACCTATTGTTTTTGGCAATTATGTCCAATCTGCATACACTTTGGACAATATGTAGGTTTCCAATCATACCATACTTCCTGATCAATCATTCTGCCCTTTGGGTCCCTTATCTTGATCATATTTGGCAGCTCATTTGTCACATCTATCTCAATAAGGATTCGTGCATATGAAATTCTACTTGCATTCGTTGTACATGCATCAGCATAGATAGGTTGTCCCAGCCCACTCCCAATCTTGCTTAATGCATTTGCACTCCAGCATACCAACGGCAGATTTGGCAACTTGACCCAAATTGGGATTGTTTTTCAAATCTTCAGCATCAAAATCAAAATCCATTGTCCATGCTTTAATTATCACTGGCCTATTGTTTAACATATGGGCCCTGAGTACATCACTTGATTCATTTCTTCCATACTTGAGAAATTGATTACAAAATACCCAACATTATAATAAAATACCTTTGGCTTTATTGAGTATTCTCCTTGACCTGCTACAAACCTCTCTATAGCTCCAATTGTAGGAGACCCCCCAATAACATATGCTATTGCTGCGTACTTCCATTTCTCAATCTCACTATCTATATCTTCATGTTCTATTTCTACAACCACCTCTCCCTCAACAATTGCTGGTGGTATAAATGTTAAATCCATACCTCTTGCTGCCATTTTGTTCTCTTCAAATAACGTCGCCCATGTTTTTCCTCCTGTTTTTCCTGATTCCAGTTGCAATTTCCGTTGTGCTCCCCCATTTTGAGTTACTGTTCAATTAGTCTTATCACCTTGAACTTGCTTCTGCTGCAGATCTGTGCCTTGAATCTGCATCTGTCCCGTATCCGTTGAACTTTGTACCACTTGTATGTGCATCAGATCTGTCCTTGTAGGCGCTGGAGTTTTGGTGCCTTCACTACGAACAGGGAGATTTGGCCAAATTTCTGGGCTATTTGTTGCATGTTCCTTCCCTTTGGTTCTTGCTACTTCCTCAGTCATTCTCCTTCCATTAACGATGAAATTGCTCCCACTTGTCCCTGTTTTTATTGATAGAATAGTGTTTGCAACTTTCGTTACTATATTTTTTGGTGTTACAATACGAAGACCTTCTGCTTTACTTTCCTCTACAAGCTTGCTTTCTTCCTCTATCACTTGCTTTGTTGCCTTCGATGGCCGACCTCTAGCCCTCCCCCTTTCCGGCGAGCGCAGTTTAGCAATTCACGCTTAACTTGCGCCGAGAGAGAAAAGAGAGAGAGAGTTTTATGATTTTTTGCTCCCGATATTTTTTAATATACTAAGTCATTATTGTAAAATATTAACTCAACATTAGTTATTCTTAGAATCTACATTGTCAATTGCCAAATTTTTTTTAGCTATAGGGTCAACCACTTCATTCGCAAATCTCTAAAGACCAAAATATTTAGTTTTTTTAATTTGTATTATTTGACAAATCATGAAGAATCGTGATAAAAAGTATTTTTGTGTTACTTATTTATTTTCCGTATTATGTCCCAAAGATAATAACTATTTCATAAGATATTCATGTAGAAATCCTCAAAAATCGCAATTGGGACATGATTTCTTCCTTTAGTAAGATATATAAATAGATCAACGTTCATTAGTTTTTAGAAACTTACACTTTTTAAATTTTTATTTTATATTTCAAACACATTATACAATAATATTCATATAACTTTTAAAATTATATACTCATTAATACGGGGTACACACGCAAAGCGTGTACCCTAAGACTAGTTAAAAGAAAAAAATTATACAATTTTCTTAAGAAAGAGATCATAATAATTGATAGCTTTTTTAATCTGTCGAAATGGAACAGTTTGGTGTGTACTAAAATAAAAAATGGGTCAGATTAATAAGCTTATGACTACTGAACAAATTTAGTTGATGGAAATAGTTTATGCGCCGCTAATGTAGCGACTTGTCGAGCATTTATGAAAATTTTATACTTAAATTACTTATATTAAATACCCTTGTACTATGACTGAATTTCAAATACATTTTTTGAATTTAATTAAATATTTACACCTATACATTGTAAAATTTATACAACACTTACACTCCCTAGAAGATATATCTAAAACTAAATAATATTAAAATATAATTATTAGAAGATAGTTTAAATTATAAATAAAAAGATCTTCTAATGGAACTTAAAAAAGAGTAACAATATTTTTGTTGAAAATCTTTATTCATGCCATTGATTAAATAAGAGAACAAATAATTAAAATACTAATTTTTGAAAATCTTAAATAAAAAATAATCCCGAATACTTAATAGCATGAGTAGAATTTTTAAGTATTTGAAACAAAAAATTATATTTCGAAACTCTTAATATTATGATGTTATCCATATTTTTCTATACAAATATTTGAACCTCTTCTATAATGGAAATCCTATAAAAATGAAACCTCATCTAACTAAGTTTACTTAAGATAAAAAAGTGGAAGAATAATAAAAAAATAAATTAAAAATAAAAAACTTTTTATAATAAAATATTATAATTAAATAAATATACAAATAACTGACATATTTAAAGTGCAAGAAAGTTATTACTAATAGTTCGTTTATCTTATTAAATTTGTGTTTATTTTCCATTGATGAGTTTCAAAGTACATATTTCAAAAAAATTATAATAAATCTCAACAAACAAACAAATACGTTCACTTATAAAATTAATTCGTCTTCTTAATAATTGTAATTTAATATAGCACAAAATTACCTCATAGAGGGTATAGGTGTAGACTTTTTTATAGTGTAGGAACTATAAATAATTTTAAATTATAGGGTGTATTCAAAATTATATTATAGGGGTATGTAGTATAATTAACCCACATATATTAGTCCTGAAAAAAAAATAAAGAGAAATGATAAAAAGAATGATCCCTTATGTTCGAGTGTAGGTTTATGATGATCATCAACAACAACAACAACAAACTCAGTAGTAGGGGTGTTCATGGTTCGGTTTGGGTCGATTTTTTCCTAAAAAGAAACCAAACCAAGTAAGTCGATTTTTTCAAATATTGGAACCAAACCAAACCAATTAAGTCGGTTTTTTATGGATTCGATTTTTGTCGGGTTTTCAGTTTTTTCGATTATTTATCGGTTATTTTCTTAAATATAAGAATACACTACCAAACGCATAGTCCGGCGATTACATTTCAACTAACACTATCAAAAGTTTACCAAAAGTCCCAAAAGTTAACTTAAAAAGTGGACAAAGACAAATTGTTAAGTTTTGGTAAACTTAAAGGACTATAACTGTTAAATGCATATTTAAAGGACCATCATAAACCTATACTCAAACATAAGGTATTATTTTGTCATATTTCTCAGAAACTCAGGCTTTCTTTATAGACTCCGAATCTCTACTCTCTCTTCTCCGGCGACTCCAATCTTCTTTTAATCAGGTACTTGTATTCTTTCTTCTCATTTGGGTTGGGAAAATGTAGAAGCAGCTTATGTTAACTTAGTTCCTTTTCCTTTCTTTTTGGGTCTGTTTAACTGTCTCAATTAAATTTTAATTGATGATTCTTAGATTTAGCTCGCAATTGTCCATGAAAAATGCAATCTTTGTTGTTCTTGACTGAATTCCTGCTTCTAATTTATAACTTTAAAAAAATTAAATTTTTCTCCCATCTAATTTGGTTGATAATCTTACCCCTTTCCTTAATTTCTACTGAAGAAATGAATGTAGAAGTAAACCAACTATTCGGGTTCACAAATTGTTTGAATTAACTCCAAATAAATACCATAGTTAAGGCGACGTGCACATTTTTCAACCAGTAAAAGTTAACATATGAGAGTAAATTCCAAGACTTATAGGATCTTGGAACCTCAACTTTTCTGTTCTAGCAAAACATTACCATTTCTTATATTTTTGGTAATCGAGAAATCCCGAGGGTCATTGGTGCAAGGGTCGAAACTTGGTTGATGATGGGCCCCACACTCTACTCTTATCCACTTAAATGTCAAACTTGTGTCTGCAACAGGGTTCAAACCTGTGACTTGCACCTAAACCACACATCACATGCTACACTCCTACCACTAGAACAAAGTCCTAGGGGCACAAAACATTAGCTGTTCTGTTGCTCTCATAATTGCTAGGTTTGGGATCCCGTTATCTACCACCTGACCTATATCAGTGTAGAAAAGTACCAAACTGACCATAAATTTTGCCCACTGAAGTTGGATTAACATATTTAACACTCCTTAGTTGTCATTATTTTTTTTCTTTTATGCCTGCGGTGTCTGTGTCTGCTTGAGCGCACCTCGATTAATCACTGTCTAGCCTGTGCATCCTACAAGCTTAGGTGACGACTGAACTTGCCCATAAAAGTTAGAGCATGTGGGCTCATACTAAGTGTTGTAGATGTAATTCACACCTAGCATTTTCAGGTTGTTACTCCCTAGTTTCCATTATATTTACTACTCCCTATTTGATTTACTACAGGCTCGCAACGTATACAGAGGTTTCATTGGTCATATGTGCAGTCTATTTGGGAAATGGTTATATGAATGTACATGTTCTATCTCTAGGTTTTGTTTGTGGCATAAGATGAGATTTTGATGTTCCGGATTTTCAGTGTTATTGCAGATAAACCATGATACGCTCTTTGTCAAGTCGCGCATCAAAGAGAATACTCTCTTCTGTTATTCCTTGCTATGGAAATGCTTCTTCTTTCTCTATGGTCTTAAGACAACCATACAGAAGTTCAACTCTGCGACAGATATTTTATAAGTCACAACGAAATGCTATTCCTTGTGATTTCTTGAAATGGGGTTCGCTTGGTTCCATTAGGACATCAAAATTTGCTTCTGGCTTCAGCCCGTTGAAGCCAAAGCCCTTGGACTCTATTATTGACATGGAGAGGGCGAAAAACAAATCAGCTGAAGAGCTTGCTGACGTTTGGGATGATGTAATCTTTCAACCTTTCTTTTTTGTTATTTTGATAGTTTTCAAATGCATTGTTGTCTTTCTTGAGATAGTTTTCAGCCTTGAGTTCTGATTGTGGACTGTTGTAAGTTACATTAGTCATTCAATATGATGAACAATTCACAACTCGACCAAGCTTTTGTTATAGAAATGAGTAGGTTAGCCAGTTTCTCTTACTACACTAGAAATTTGAAGTCTCGAGGTTTATCTGATCATTATGATAAACTTGTAAAAGTGATTCAGGTAGCCAAAAATATATGTTGTCTGGTTTTCTAGTCTTACCTGTCCATGCTTGTTTTATGATTGCATTAAAATCTTCTTTAGATGACGGCTATTAATAGCATTTTATGCTGCAAATGGGATGAGGATTTGCAGGAGGGATTAGAGACCCAATTCTTTTGATCTTTGGTCTAAATGTACCCCGCCGACAGATTTTCTTGTGAAACTTAGTGTTTTTAAGCCAATCGATCCTATGATGTAATGCTTCAGAGATGCTTGGATTGTGGATTGCCTTCTCATGTTTCCCTTAGGAAGCTGCTCTTCCACCAGATTTCTGCCATTGAAGTAATTTTAGCTATGAACATCCATGTACCTTTGCATGTCTTTATTTTATTAAGTTGGATATACATTTTGATCATAGTCTGCAGTCTATGACACAACTTGCTGTTTGATTCAGTAACTTTTGCTTTCCTAACGTGTTAATGATTTCTGGAATGATCCTTTTCTTTCTCCCTTTTTTCCCTTTTGTTGCATGATTATGTCATCTCAGTATCACTTGGGAAGAGGTCATATTGCAGCATCAATGAAAGCTAAGTTATATAAGCTCTTCGAGCAAAGATCTTCAAGTTGGTAAATGTGCTTCTTCTTCTTATTCATTTGTTTTCTCGGACTCTAATAAGTTGCTTTGTTTAATGCCACTTCCTTCCTTATCTTTGACATTTTACTTCTGTTTTCTTGTGTAGCCGATATTTTGTGATTCCACTGTGGAGGGGAAGTGGTTATACAACCATGTTTGTGCAAGGTCAGACTCATCTTGCTCCTTTTATGATTTAACAATCTCTGTTGATATGCATTGTAAAACCTATTATCATGTTGTAGACACTATCCCTAAGAGTCTATCAAAAAACTATTCTAAGAGTTGCTCTTTCTCTACTTCTTATGCTATCACTGACAGGAGCTCAGCTTATTCTCAGAAAAGCGAAACGCCTTCCATCTTTTTAAGGTTCATTTTACAATGAACTTGTTATTTAGATATAATATTACGATTCGCAGTCAGATATATAGAGTTTCCTCAAATGGTCACTCAACTTAATGGAATTACCTAGTAGTAAGGTCATTTATCTTTTTTTGTCCCAATAAAGCCACTCAAACTCATACACATATCTTACAAAGTGACAATGGCTGGAACACCACTTTAAAATTGACTTGAAAAGGTTTTTAATATAAAACCACTTACCATCCATACCATAAATAATATTTAACAACAAAGCAGGGCCCCCACCTATTAAACAAATATGTGGAATCTTTACAATTTCAACCAAATAGAACACCAACTCATAAACTCAAATACAACATCAAAATATGTAAAGTTAATATAGTTTAAAGTCTACTGAATGTAACTTAAACAAATCTGTGGAATCTTCTTCTTTCTTTAGTCGATTTAATATACGTAGTAGATGCTGCACTACTTGTTTTATATTGGATCTACTTTGAGCAGTAACCATATGCAATGTGAATATCTGCTTATTGCCTGATTGTATAATACTTATTTGTATGTTTCTTGTAATAATTTTCAAGTAAAAAAGAAAATAATGGTTAATTAGACTAAGTTCTATGTAAAAGAAACCATCAAAGGCAAAGAGCAAGGCAATGCTGATGAACCTGAAAGGAGTTGAATTTCAAGGTTACCTTGGTCTAAACTGCTGCAGTATTTGATACTTTGCATTTCAATCTAGTGACTAGTGCTTAGAAATTAGCCTGTGACAATGAGTTCCTCATTTCTAGATCAATTTTTCCAGGCACAGTTTAGTACTGATGTCTGCAGGGGAACCAAAAGTGACGCGTTGACTCTTGTCTTATCATAAAATTCATCCTCAATTTAACCTTGAAACAAATTTTTGAATCATGATCATATCCACACGCAAATGGTACACCCAGCCTCAAACCGAGGAAAGTGGGACAAGAACAATTAGTGGTCCATTGGACTGCTAATCCTATGCCAGAAATATTCTGTACTTGAGGATAAATATTCGAGTAAAGATATAACAAGTAATAAACTTACTCCATGGAAGAAGCAATACTTATCTTTTGGGGGCAGGCTGACTCTAATGAATAGTGTCTTGGATGGGATACCCACATACACCATGTCCTTATTCAGTATGCCTAAAGCAGTAGAAAAGAAATTAGATTCTATAAGAAGGAACTTTTTGTGGGATGGAAGCTCAGACAAGAAGAAGACACATCTGGTTAAATAGCAAATGGTTATTGAAGATAAAAAGAGAGGTGGACTAGGAGTGAGGAATCTGAAATTGCACAATAAAAGCTTACTATTTAAATGGCTATGGAGATACAGTAGAGAGGGAGAGGAAATTTGGCAGAAAATAATAGATGCCATTTATGGTGCAAAGATTGGGTGGAAACAAATTCCTTCTCAACTGAGAAGCTGTGGCGGGATTCGGAAAACGATTGGTGGCTGGTGGGATGAATTTTTACAGCAGACTAGTTTGGAGGTGGGAAATGGTGGTAGGATTAAATTTTGGCTGGATATTTGGTGTGGTAATGAGAGCCTCAAAAGCAGATTTCCAGATCTATTTAACTGTGCGTTGAATAAAGAGGGTTATGTCGCAGGTTTTAAAGAAGAATCAGGATGGAATGTTATTTTCAGAAGAAATCTGAATGACTGGGAAGTGGATAGTTTCTGTGAACTGCTTCAACTTCTGAATTCATGTTCAATAGATCAACACAAAACAGATAGGCTAATTTGGATCGGAAGCAGGGATAATATATTCGCAGTGAATAATTGCTACAAAACGTTGCAACAACAAACTAGTCAGGGAATTCTAAACTGGCCTTGGAAGATGATTTGGAGAACTAAAGCACCTATGAAAGCAGCTTTTTTTTTTTGGTTGGCTAGCAGCTAGGGATGCCTGCCAAACTCAGCATAAGTTACAGAGGAGAGGGTTTTCTCTGTGCAGTAGATGTTATTTTTGCAACGCAGAGGAGGAAACAGTTGAGCATCTCTTCTTGCATTGCAAATTTCAAGACAATGCTGGGAATTTTTCTTGAACATAATGGGCATATCTTTGGTGCTACCTCAGAAGATTAGTAGCTTGCTGGAAATGTGGCAATCCCAGAGAGTAAAAAGGAGCTTAAAGCTAATATGAAAAACTATTCCCAACTGCATAATGTGGACACTATGGCTAGAGTGAAATAAAGCATGCTTTGAGGGAAAGAGACTGCAGATTGCCAGAATCAAAAACAAAACTTCCCCGCTTGAGTTTTATATCTTACTATTTTGATCTGTTTTCTGTTACTTGCCTGGTTTACCCACATATGGAATCCTTAGTCGTTTCTGAGGCTTCTTTTAAAGGTAAAATACCCTGTGCTTTTTGAAGACTGCAGTTAATGATATGTTTGTTATTTTCTCAGTACTTCTAGTATGGAGTTCCGTTCTCATTAGTACACTGATAGGAATCAAACTACATAAACAAGAATTACAGGGAAGCAAATAAAGATTTAGAAGAGACACAACTTTAAGGCATAAACCAGAATATTCAATAACAATCAAATACCTTAATTCAGCAAATTAAAGTGTACCAATCCTATAAGAAACCCTCAAGTTTAAGTGATCAACTTGAACTCCCGTTTGCAAGGTTTGTAGCAACAATTGGATACCATCCAAACATTCTCAAAGTTGTCTACCATCAAAGTATGCTAAACCCTACTATTCTAGGAAAGATAGTATATATACAACAACAACAACAACAACTACCCAGTATAGTCCCACGAGGTGGTGTCTAGGGAGGGTAATACGTACATAGGCCTTACCCCTACCCGAAAGGGCAGAGAGGCTGTTTCCAATCGACCCTCGGCTCAAGAAAAGGAAAAGGAAAACAAAAACAAAAAACAAAAAGCAAAAGAGCATTAGTGACTTCAGCAGAAATCACATAAATAATTATCTAAACATAAACCATAAATAAAATGGCATGCAAATATATCGACCAATAACTACCATAAGGGGGCACAATACAATACACAAATCATCTATGGAGAGCCAGCCCTACCAAACAACCCCCCCNGAGCCCTACCAAACCCCCCCCCAAGCGCCGGGACAGAAGTACGAAAAATTCTAGACGCCCCTATCCTGCAATCCTGATACCAGACCTCCAGACTTTCTATCCAGGGCCATGTCCTCGGAAATCCGCATTCTAGCCATGTCCTGCCTAATCACCTCTCCCCAATACCTCTTGGGCCTCCCTCTGCCTCGACTCGCGCCAACCACCGCCAGCCGCTCACAACTCCTCACCGGGGCATCGGGGCTTCTCCTCCGCACATGCCCGTACAACCTGAGCCTTGCTTCCCGCATCTTCTCATCTACTGGGGCCACCCCCACCTTCTCCCGAATAACTTCATTCCTAATCCTATCTAACCTGGTGAGCCCACACATCCACCCGAGCATCCTCATCTCCGCAACCTTCATTCTCTGGACATGGGAGTTCTTCACCGGCCATCACTCAGCCCCATACAACATGACAGGTCTAACCACAGCTCTATAAAACTTCCCTTTTGAGTTTCTGAGGCACTTTCTTGTCACACAAGACTCCTGATGCAAGCCTCCATTTCGACCACCCCGCCCCTATACGGTGAGTGACATCCCCGTCGATCCCTCCGTCCCCCTGAATCACCGACCCAAGATATCTGAAACTGTCCCTCTTGGCGATGACCTGAGATCCAAGCTTGACTTCTCTGCCTACTTCGCTCGGCTCGGTGCTAAACTTGCACTCCAGGTACTCTGTCTTAGCCCTGCTTAGTTTGAAACCCTTGGACTCGAGAGTCTGCCTCCAGACCTCCAACCTCTCGTTAACACCGACCCTCGCCTCGTCTATCAGGACTATGTCATCAGCAAATAGCATACACCATGGCACATCCCCTTGAATATGGCGTGTTATAGCATCCATCACCAAAGCAAATAAGAGAGGGCTAAGTGCAGATCCTTGATGAAGCCCCATTACCACCGGGAAATGGTCTGAGTCGCCACCCACCGTCCTAACCCTAGTCTTAGCTCCATCGTACATGTCCTTGATCACTCTGATGTAGGCTTCCGGCACGCTCTTCGCCTCCAGACACCTCCATAGCACCTCCCTTGGGACCTTGTCGTAGGCCTTCTCCAAGTCGATAAACACCATGGGTCCTTCTTCTTATCCCTGAAGTGTTCCACCAATCTCCTGACAAGGTGGATAGCTTCTGTAGTGGAGCGGCCCGGCATGAAACCGAACTGGTTCACGGATATAGACGTCATCTCCCTCACCCTCAACCACCCGCTCCCAGACTTCCATGGTATGGCTTAGTAATTTGATACCCTATAGTTGTTACAACACTGGATATCCCTTTGTTCTTATACACGGGCACCACTGTACTCCACCTCCACTCCTCCGACATCCTCTTAGTCCTGAAGATCACATTGAACAACCTGGACAGCCACTCTACTCCTGGCCTACCTATGCATATCCAGAACTCCACCGGGATTTCGTCTGGCCCGGTCGCTCGACCCCTACTCATCCTACGCAAAGCCCCCATGACCTCCTCCACCCTAATGCGCCTGCAGTACCCAAGGTCCCTTTGACGCTCTAAATTCCCCAACTCCCCTAGCTCTACGTCTCGATCCCCCTCCTCGTTAAGCAGGTCTCGAATGTACGCCTGCCACCTCTGCTTGACTTGAGACTCCCCCATCAGAACTCTACCATCCTCGTCCTTGATGCACCTAACTTGGTCTAGATCCCGCGCCTTCCTCTCCCTCACTTT